GCTTCCGAAATTTGAATTCTAGTGTATTCAAAAACATAGTCACAGTTTCACTTTGATTTTTTGTCGTACAAATAGGATTACTGTTCAGGCTTTCGATTTAGCAAATAAAAATAGTTGGCGCCAAAATGAAAAAAGGCGTTTTGTCAGCTCACGGCAGTATAGTCGGGTACCCTTTCCCGCCTGGAGGAACTGGGGGGGAAAAAATTCATGTACGTAAAGTGCATTTTCCAAGGAGACAAACCACTACAAGGATATTTTATGTCTCTCCTCAGTTCTCAAAGCTTTCTTGCCGGGTAGAAATAGCGGCGATACCTGAACTTACTAAATAAAAAAAGAAAATAATCAACGAACTCATGTTTTTGAGAGAACAGCTCACACAGGGGTGTCTGGGAAACGGGCGACAAACACAAACAAAATTATGCATCATCGTCATTTTTACAAGTCGGTTGTTAGTTCATCACAGATAGTTGGTCTCATTGTACTGGTCTTTGTTTAGTTTTAGTAAGAGTTTTACTGCACTTGCAACACGAAAAGGTTACTTAAGCGTCCAAGATTAGACGTGTCACGAAAGATATGGATGAAAAGATTTTTTTTATAGTATAGGAAAGAAGGAGTAAACCACATCAGAGCACCCCGCCGACTACCCACTGTGCTGGTCTCGTAATAAAACAGTCAATTACCAATTGTACATCAAGAGCCACACAGTCAAGTAAACATACCGTCCTCAAAAGAAAACACCAGAACTTGCCAATTAAGTACGGAGGCAACAATTTGATCTGACAACAGTTCCAAACTTAAGACGGAACGTCGGATGGACTCACGGACACGTCATCATTTTCTCACTGAGGTCTACCTTACTTTTCCTGTCTGCCAAATGCCTGATATTGTGTCACACACTTCAATTCTTGCAAGTAACACCACACTTTTTCCTTTCTCAATAACAATATATTCCATATTCTGCTTTTTGTTAGCTTTAACACTTTGCCGCCTCATCTCGCCGATTGGCCAAGTTTACCACCCAGTTTCTTTGGATTTTCCCCAAAATATGATGGCAAAGTGTTAATGGACACTTTACCACAGGCCACAAAAACAGCTGCCTCATCCCAACACTCCTACCTACTGAAAATGTTTAATATGTCCTGCACTCTCATATGATCTTACACAATTGCGAGCGCCGTAAAACACTTACCAAAAAAAAAAAAAAAAAAAAAAAAACGGCGGCAGAGGGAAAACTATGAGCACAGGATTTGTACTTGCTGCGGAAATGTCAAAAAGACGAGTTGAACCATATTCAAACAGAGTATTCAATCTGTTGTGAAAAAAAAAAAAAAAAAAAATATCTGCAACACAACAGAAACGTATGGCAACATCATGTTGAACACGGCAATCCATCATTACCTCACCAGACACCACGGACTCTCACGACTCAAAAAAATAAATATTGGAAGTACAATTTTGTTCACACAAGAAAACAACATGCAACCAATCATGGAATGATTATGATAAGAAAATAGAAATTGTCAGATTTTTTTCAAATGTGGGAGTAAAAAAAAGGATACTTTTCTTATGCTTTGCTCTCGACAATAAATACTGAATGAGAGGAGGATGTAGAGGAAAATTGCACAACTTTTGTGATCTCAGCGGTATGTGCCCGCCACCAAAGACATTCTTCTATTATCATTATGCTGTCCTGACAATAGCCACAGCAAAAATTTCCAGTGACCCACCCACCACCACTTGGACCTGCAGTTTGGCAACAGGTTGGTTAAGTCATTCAAAGATTCACACCTCAGCCAACCACCGACAGGCTAAAAAAAGTCTGAAAGCTTTGTACTTTTCTTTTGCCTAAAATGGACACCAACGCTGAGAGTCATATATATTACTTTTCTTTGTAACAACCCCCCCCCCCCCCCCCCCCTCCCCCCAAAACAAAACAACTTCGGTGATGACGTGGAACAAGTCAGGTTCTAATCTCACCTCATCTCGTTTGTACAATAATAATAATAATAATAATTGTATTTATATAGCGCATATCCATGCTCAAAAGCATGCTCTATGCGCTTTACAACTATTATTACCCCAGCAGACCCTCTGAGAACACTCAGAAACATTCTCGGCTTCAGCCGAAGCATACAGTGCAAGCTGCGGATTTCACGCGCTCAATATGGCCACCGTGTCATTCTCCAGATCTCACGTAATTAAAACGGCAGGTGTTTTACGCCCCCACCCACACAACTTAGATCAATTCTACCAGGCATGCCCGGGTCAACCCGTGCTGAGAAGGCTACAATGTACCAGAAGACAGATACTTGATGATAAAAATCCTCCCCAGATGGAAATCAAAACTCATGTCTGCCTTGCTCAACACCCAAGCACTTAAACGTTACACCACAGGCACTGTCTAGACCCCGGTAAAGAACGAGATAAACCATCCAAGAAGAAGCAACAACTCAGCAAGGTCCATGCTTTCAAAATGAGGAACCAAGTCTCTCACACACGCACACTATTCTGTTCAGCAAAGTGAACAAACAGATCTCCAGGATAAGCCAGAAAAAGTCTCCGTCTCGGTATTGCGAATACTCAACTACATCCTGACTAAAAGCTTGACAAAGCTTCGCCTGAGTGACTCGGCCACTGATGGTGCAGAAAGTCAATCGAGTCTGCAAACACACAGAGCGAGTAATAAAGTACTAAACAATAAAACAATCCAGCACGCAAATGGAAAACGCAGACTGAAATAATTTATTGCTGTCCACGAGATTACAAAACAGGCATCAAAGACCGAATGACACTGAGCAAAGCCTAGAGGCACAATACAAAATATACCATCTGTGTAGGAGCCTACGAATGCCCCATAAGCTCGCAGTAGAAACGCCTCATCATGTAAAAATAAAGTGCGGATTGCCCCCCCCCCTAAAAGGCCAATAAAAAATGATAAATAGAATTCATGCCATGCATTTCCATTTTCTATAAAATGCTCCAGATATGCATTACAGTTAAGAGCTTCTCAACTCTTTCAATAACTTGTTACTCTTAAATATAGGAAGGCGACTGTTCGTATGATAAAGATTTATCATGCTAAGTACAACTCTTCTCTCAAACTTCAAAGAAAAAAAGAGCCAAGTAGGACAACTGTCGCATCTGTCAAACAACACGCACATTTCCTCGTTGTGGTGCGCAGGGAAAAGTAACTCTTATCTCTTTGAGGACTCACATTCTGCTCTTCCAAATAACACTCGAAGACGAACTGCTTGAGGACACACTTTAGAAAAAAGGAATCGCAATTTCATTATTTATAGGTACAGGTATTTAAATTCTATTTTTTCTTTATCAGAAATAAAACAATTTGAGTTAAAAACGGAAAAATCATGTATTTCAATTAATTGTCAAGATTTACAAACTCAGTACTCGCAGGCACACCTGTACCATCTTAATTAAGAGTCTCCCCAACCGAAAAAAAAGAGCATTTCCATTCCACACAACAATGAGATAAAATCAAAGAGTTGCTCAACAAATGGCACAATGACAGAAATTATCCCGTCAAAAGTCCCCCCATTTCAACCAGCAAAGTCTGGCTCACACTATCTACCGATAAATCCAGGTACTATACAGCGAACAAAACAAAGACCACTGAAAAAACAAACAAACAAACAAAAAAACAAACAAAAAAAAGGCTCCCAAAGGTGACGCCAGTAGTTCTTGTCAGTACCTGCATTCCGACCAACAACTTTCCGACAGCAAACATGGCAAAAAGTTGGGACCTATCTGCGGAAACAGAAAATCGTCCGAACGATTCTGCCTACTGCCATTTGATTTGATTCGACAGAGTTTGGCGGCAGTTCAGAAAGAAAAACGTGGGTCAGACTTACAACACGCAGCAGGAAACCACATGGTCGTGCACACAACTCTTGGGGGAAATATCTTGAAACATTCACTCGGGGCGCAGGAAGATCATAAGGCAAAGATCTTGGAAAAAGGTAACAACTTTTAGTTATGTACAAGCAACAGAAGCTCGGGGGAGAGGCAAGTGAACAGAGCAGACCTGAGATTGCAAGTCACTGGTCTCCTCTACAAGAAGGCCATCTGCTGGACTTTGGTCTGTTTTACGCTGACCAAATCATGACAAGTTTTTACACTTTGCGGTCACTTGCTGCAGTAATGCGACCATGAAAATTGTCCGTTCTGGTCACTTGACGCAGTTCAGGGACAGGCCACAGAAGTCGGTTGCCAGTCACTCTCTTCCAGGCTGGGTGACCAGATAGGATATTTTGCACTGCTGGCTGTGTGACTGCAAAGTGTTAAAAAGTTCCACGGATCCTACTAGACAAGGAATGCCCAAAACATGATAGGTTAGAGTTCCATGGATCCCGTTAGACAAAGAATGAACTATTTCCACAAGGGAAAGAAAGCAATAATAAATAATGTAGAAAAAATATCAGAGCAACTATCAAAACATAATATGCAACTAAAATATTTCACAAGCACCACAAAGATTGTCAAGTGCCTAGTCAGGCAAACTACCCACGATTTTGTGAAATCGGTCTCCTAGTCCCAAAGTCCAAACCCAAGTGGCGGTCTAGACTAAAGCGTGTCACACCTGTGTGTCTAGATGATCTACAGCGCGTGTCACGTCTGTGTGTCTAGCTGATCTACAGCGCGTGTCACATCTGTGTCTACAGCGCATGTCATGCCCGTATGTCCAGCTGGTCTACAGAGCGTGTCACGTCTGTGTGTCAAGCTGATCTACAGCGCATGTCACGCCTTGTGTGTCCAAGGACCAGGAGAAAGTGTTACAATAAATCATTTCATCACAGATACAAGAATTCTACGTCCAAGCCATCACAAAACGTTGAACGCATGAGCAAACTGACAGACTTTCAAACACATCAAGAAATGTTTTCAACTTCTCAAAATCAATTCAAAATCTACAATTTTTGCGAATCTAAATGTTGTGTTAAAAATTTGTAGCAGTCAGATGTTATTATATAGATCCCCTCCCCTGATAAAAAAAAAAGGGGAAAAAAGTCTTCCAAATTCTGTAATAAACAAATGCAGGTAGTGCTCACTTTGTGAAAACATGCACCACACTTTGGACAAACTCATCCACACTTTACACTCATTCCAAAAGGACATTCGAAAAAAAAAGCTCTCATTATCTAAAAAAAAATAATTATAATTCATTATGGCTTGTATGGCTCATGGTTGAAAAAAATGTATAAAACAATAAAACAAACGCATTTCTGTGAAAAAAAAAAAAAGTAATAGAAAAACTTATTATTACAACGATAGCATGGAGGCGTCTATCACAAGCACGTTGATCAAGAGCCAAACTCCGTCGTGTCCTCTGTGATCGGCTTGAACTCGTAGTAGCCGCGCCCATCCATCTTGAGGTAGTACTGGGGAGAAAGAACACCGGTCAGGTTAAGATGACTACTCTGGTGAGAAGCAAGAGTTACCGCGATAACCGCGGAGCTAGTTCGCACTAGGGTTAAAGTGAGCAGTGAGTTCAAACTCAAGTAAAGTCAAGCAAGTGTCGGTGACACGGGGTTTAGATGGGTAGTCACTGGGGTATGTCCTTGAGCAAAACACGACAACCCTAGCTCAAAATACAGGGCGCTGCACAGTGGCGAACGGCAATGGCATGGCTGTAAATTGTTCTGTATTGGTGTAATATTGTGTATTTATGTATGTATTTGTGCATGTATTTATATATGTAAGTATTTATAATTATGTATTTATGTATGTGTGCATTATGCATGTTTGCAATGGTAAACCAAATTGCCATTCTGGGATCAATCAATAAAAGTGTAATTTAAGTTTCTGTGGGAACAACATGCACACACAAATCTAAACAATTATTGCTGCTAATCAGCACAAAAGCTGAGAGAAATGCTCACTTTCACAAGACCTGTACATGCACATACAAGAAAGACAAAATGTTTCTACAAAATGTATGTAATACAAGTTCAGTATATATCTGCGCTATTGGTGAAAATGGTGAAATGGTATAGGTTTAACGCCCCTATCAACACTATTTGGTTATTTAAGAGGCGGGGCCTCCGAGTTTAACGTCCATCTCCGAAAGGACTGAGCCAAATGGGAAATTTGTGTAAAGTGCCTTTCCCAAGGACACAACGTCAGACTGCGCTATTGGAATGGTGAAAATAACTCTCCTACTCTCTCAACACCCCCTTTCTATCCCTCTCAACATAACACCCCCCCTTCCCCCCAACCACCATCTTCCAGACACACCCCCACCCCTAAACCACCATCTTGCAAAACATACACCCCCCCTTCCCCCTTACTTACATCCTCTGTCAGCCCAACCAGTAAAACCCCCGTGCCCCAACCCTTCCTTCTTTTCCCCCAATCCTACTCTTTCCAGCACAATGAAGAAAAGCCCCCAAAAAACCAAAAGTGTTTGTAAGAGTTTTACGGCACTTGCAACACAATAAAGTCATATAAGTGCCGAAGATTAGAGGTGTTACAAGAGAGTAACAAACATAAAAAAGAAGGAGAAGAAATAAGTACGATAGATGTTTGATAGGAAAGAAGAAGCAAACCACACCAGAGCACCCGCCAAAACCCAACCCCCCAACTATGCCGTGCCAGCAGATGCGCCTCACCTCGTGATGTTTCCACAGCGACTTGCGATGTGACACGGTGAACAGAGTGATGCCCACCTGGGGGGGAACACAACAACATCATCTCTTGCTCTGACTTCACATGCTATATACATCCTGGTCAGAATTATCTAAAATCGGGGAACAGCTCAAACGTGACACAAAACCTTTTAACAAGTCTCGACCAAAAAACAGCAGAGACCGGGAGAAGTCACAACAGATAAAACTAGCTTCTAAATGGAAACTAGACTGGTGTTGAAGTCACAACAGATAAAACTAGCTTCTAAATGGAAACTAGACTGGTGTTGAAGTCACAACAGATAAAACTAGCTTCTAAATGGAAACTAGACTGGTGTTGAAGTCACAACAGATAAAACTAGCTTCTAACTGGAAACTAGACTGGAGTTGAAGTCACAACAGATAATACTAGCTTCTAACTGGAAACTAGACTGGTGTTGAAGTCACAACAGATAATACTAGCCTCTAACTGGAAACTAGACTGGTGTTGAAGTCACAACAGATAATACTAGCCTCTAACTGGAAACTAGACTGGTGTTGAAGTCACAACAGATAATACTAGCCTCTAACTGGAAACTAGACTGGTGTTGAAGTCACAACAGCTAATACTAGCCTCTAACTGGAAACTAGACTGGTGTTGAAGTCACAACAGATAATACTAGCCTCTAACTGGAAACTAGACTGGTGTTGAAGTCACAACAGATAATACTAGCTTCTAAATGGAAACTAGACTGGTGTTGAAGTCACAACAGATAATACTAGCTTCTAAATGGAAACTAGACTGGTGTTGAAGTCACAACAGATAATACTAGCTTCTAAATGGAAACTAGACTGGTGTTGAAGTCACAACAGATAATACAAGCTTCTAAATGGAAACTAGACTGGTGTTGAAGTCACAACAGATAATACTAGCTTCTAAATGGAAACTAGACTGGTGTTGAAGTCACGACAGATAATACTAGCTTCTAAATGGAAACTAGACTGGTGTTGAAGTCACAACAGATAAAACTAGCTTCTAAATGGAAACTAGACTGGTGTTGAAGTCACAACAGATAATACTAGCTTCTAAATGGAAACTAGACTGGTGTTGAAGTCACAACAGATAAACCCCTTTTTAATAGGGACCAGGCGGTGTCGAATTAACACTAGATAAACTTCGTTCTAAAAGGAAACAATCCTGATTTTGACGGACCAGGCCACAAACTTACACAGGGGAAAACGAGCCACAACATAAATACGACGCCATTGGGGAGGAAGGGGGGGGGGGGGGGGGCGCGCAAATATACAGTCTGCTAACAATAATAAGTCGTCCATCAATATCTGACAATGACCAATGTACCTGGAGAAGAGTATATTTCTTAAACAGAAACAAAAGAAATAAGGATTACAATGATTCATGGCGTCTGCTGTGGCCAACGGGAATAATATCAAGAGCTAGCCCAGGACAGGGAAAGATGGAAAGTTTTTTGTTCATGGCCTATACCCTGACGCCAGATGAAAAAAGCAGTGATGATGACGACGATAATGATGATGGCCTTTCCGATTTGTGCTCACCCCTCCTTTTAGCATTGTGACATGAATGTACGCACTTTGGTTTTTACAGCTAGTGTAGATCTAGATTCTAGTCATTTATATTTTGAATGTTCCTGATGAAGCCCGTTGAGGGTGAAGCGTCGAACTTGTGATTAGATTTTTAGAAATATTACCAGGTCTTAACCCATTTAATATCTGCTTTATACAATGATAATGATGATGATGATGATGATGATGATGATAATCTATGGCCAATGAGACCAATTCTGGTACAGAAGAGTTTGCCACATTTCGGGAATTTAACAGCTTCCTTTCCGCCCGTGGAAGTGGATAGCTTGCCGGCTCCTCTCTTGGCTTCAGCATTTCAGCAATTCCACTACCCTGACAGATAAGCCACCACATCAGAATGACAAAGTTCTATTTGACAATTTTGGCCGTTTTGAGTTACTAAGACCATGAGGTCAGAAAACCAAATGTTCTATCTGCTCTTTCAAAATAGTAAGACTATTTGGGAGTCTTATCAAAATATTCAAAGAATTGCATTAAAAAAAGCGTGACATGTAGGGAAACTCAACCTTTGTGAACCTCAGATTTCTTTTAAAAAAAGTTTTAGTAGAGGTTTTACGGCGCTCGCAACTGAATAAGATCATATGAGCGCCACGGGGTGGATGTCAACAGAAAAGTCCTTACAGGGAATCGGGCTTACTCCGCTCGACTCTCTAGCTTCAACAGCACAAGGTCTGCTTCCACTATCAAGGCACCCCTGAAAAAGCGGGTCACAAGAGAGTGATAAACACACAAAAGAAGTAGAGGAAAAATGACGATAGTAAGGATGAGGAAAGATAAAGCAGCAGTTCCCGGTTGCAATTCCGGCACACTTATGAGCATGACATCGATGAATCAGCCCATTCACAATTACACTGTGCATAAGAACATGGTTAAAATCCCCTCTTTGGGAATGGCCTAAAGACACTTCAATCAGTAGCACTGTCCGGGGGGGGGGTTCAGATTTCTCAAAAAGGGGGTACTGAGCAGATAAAACTTTGTCACTCTAGGGTGGCGAAGCAGTACAGGACAGGGCTGGCTGGCGCGGCCTCTCACCTCCCGACTGTGCTGGTACATGAAGCCCTCCACGTCCACGCTGACCGCGCTCGTGCACTCGTCCAGGATGGCAAACTGGGGCTTGTGGTAGAACAGACGCGCCATCTGAGCACACGGGCCAGACCCGGGGAGAGAGGGGGAGGGGAGAGGGTGAGGGGAAAGGATGGGGGAAGAAAGGGGAGAGGGTGGAGGGGACAGAGTAGGGACGGAGGGAGGGGAGGAAGGGGAGAGGGTGGAGGGGACAGAGTGGGGAAGGAGGGAGGGGAGGAAGGGGAGAGGGTGGAGGGGACAGAGGGGGGATGGAGGGGGGAGGGGTGATGAATCACGAACAAAACACTTCAGAATCACAAAAAATAGTATCATATTGTTTTGTGTTTTAGTAAGACTTTAAAAAAAAATGGTACTTGCTTTAGTTCAGTTTTAGTAAGTGTTTTACGTCATTTGTAAGCAACACAATTAAGTCATGCAAGTAGTTACAAGAGAGTGACAAACACAATAAAAGAAGAAGGAGAGGTAATGAAATTTTCAATCAGGAAGAAAACAAAACTTCTCTTATTGATGGAGCAATATACCGGGCGACTTATTAACCCTATCCAAACGCCCTGGGGTCATTTTGTACTGCCGCGGTTGTATTCTTCACATTTTAGAATACTTCTAGTGCGAAGATCTCTTTAAAACTTTCAGTATTTCTCAAAAAATCATTTTGACAGACTGCTATGCAAAGCGTATGGATCGGATTAACGAGTAAATTTCCCCTTTGCAAAGAGGTGGCGCAGAGTTCCCCACGTCGTATGGATACGATAGTAAAATACGACGTACGGATAGCGTTAAACAAACAAGATAAAAAATTTATTTCACAAGGTAAAAATACCACCCTTTTTTTAAATCTAAAAAACGCTGTATCTGTCAAACTTAAACACAAACAACTGCCATGAGATCTTTCCTGTCTTTAGTTTTGAGGCGCTCAACCTTGAGTCGCTCGTCAAACTCCATAGAAAGAAAAAAATCTCACCGTCACAGCCCTGCAGAGCACAAGGGTACAACAAGGCACGCTTTGTGGTCTTTTTCAGTTTCAGTAAGAGTTTTACGGCACTTGCAACACAACAAGGTCATATAAGTGCCGAAGACTAGAGGTGTTACAAGAGAGTAACAAACATAAGAAAGAAGGAGAGATAAAGACAATAGTTGTTTGATAGGAAAGAAGGAGCAAACCACACCAGAGCACCCGCCAACCACCCATGCTTTGTGGTCTACCAGATGGGCTGGTTGAGAAACCCAGCTCGCCAGCGTCTATGGTGTAGTGGCTAGACCCTTCGCCGCTGCACACACAAGACCCAAGTTCGATTCTCATGTGTAGGGAGAATCTTTATCAAGTATCTCGATCTTTCTGCTGGGACGTTGTATCCCTCACAGCTCGGGTTTGCCCTGACAGGCAGGGTTGATGCCCGCCTCCTGAATGATCTAAATTGTGTCGATGGGGATACAAAAAAAATCCCTATATCTAAAACAAACCAAACCCCCCCCCCCCCAAAAAAAAACAACGCCAAACAAAAACAAATAACCCCCCAAAACCCATGCTGAAGTCACATCGCAAACTGAAAGCTGAATAGACTGGAGACAATTTCTCAGAGCAGGACAGAAAAGACTAAACTTTTTAGCGTCTCATCTATCGTTCGACCGATCAACAAAACTGACAGATCCACCCAGAGCCCAACGAAACAAACAAAGCCACAGACACAAACATTCATGGAGTCACTTACAGCGATCCGCTGCTTCTCCCCACCGCTGAGCACATCCATCCAATCCTGGAACAAACATACGCACAAACAAAAATTACGAAACTACAAACTTAACTACAAGAAAGAAAATTCCAGACTACAAACGACTCGCCCAAAAACCCACCAAAAAAAAAAAAAAATACAAACTACGTGAAAAAAGAATTACAAATTACAAAACACTACACGAAAGAAAATTACAGAACACATGAAAAAAAAAAAAAAATCATTTCGAGAAAAAAAATGTGTCAAATGTTCTCTGGAAGGCATAGAAAGAAAAGCAGAGCTAAGATAAAAAACCTGTGTAGAAAGAACACAGATAATAATAACAACAGTAATGATCATTTCAGTAGCAGGAGAGCCAAGTGACACACAGTTGTGTCACAATGCAGGTATTTCAGCCTCTTGCCCATCTTGGAGCAAACTGGTATCATCTTATTAAGGTTTGTTCATTTGTCTTGCTTTCGATGCAAACAAATAATTTAAAAATACAAACCTATCTTGAATAGAAGTAGAGAGACTTGTGATCGAAGGAGGTGGG